ACTGTATTGTTTTTTCTCTTTTATATAACTCTCCATGTAAACTGGCCTTGTGGCCCTTTGCTTGTGCTCGGATTGTGTGGTGACTTTGTGATCCACCCTGAGCTTGCTTTGCTTTTCTTGATTGGTCTTGTGACCTCTTATTCTCTCCCACTTGCCTATGGGGGTGTGTCAGAATGTCACAGTGCTTACATTTGTGAAGGCTATAGTGGGGTAGCCCATAAGGGGTACAACCCAACTAGGGTTAATACTTGTACCCAACTCTTTCATAGTTCATCCATTCTCATTCGTTAGTTTGATAGCTGTGCGCGTGGCGTTGGGTTGTCCAGACTCGGCGTCATAGGCACTGTTGGGTTTTGCCCGTAGTACAGGTAAAACGGGGACTGTTGCGTTGTTGCTGACGTGGCGTTGTTGTATGCGAACTCGATCAGCGGCAACTACTGCTCCCATGTTGTCGGGTCGTCGCACGTGGCACGGATCAGCTGCTCCATGGTCTGATTGGTCCACTCCGTTTGACGGTCGGTCTCGGGGTGGTATGACGAGCTGAACTGTAGCCCGGTGCCGAACTGCTCCAAGAGGTTCTTCCAGAAGTTGCTGGTATACTTCGTGTCGCGGTCGCTGATTATCGCGGCTGGTATCCCGTGTAGTCGTACGGCGGTTGCGATGAACAGGCGAGCAGTTTCCTCAGCTGTGATCAATTTCCTGCACGCAGCGAAGTGAGCCATTTTCGTCAGTCTGTCAACGACGACCATTACCGCGTCGTTACCCCCAAGGTTCGAAGGTAACCCTGTAATAAAGTCCATGGTAATCTGCTGCCAGGCGCGCTCGGGCGGTGGAATCGACTGCAACTGACCCGCCTTTCTTTTTCGCGAGCTTTTCATCACCTGACATGTAGGACACGGGCCCACGTGGTGCTGTACGTCGGTCAATAGCTCCTGCCAGTAGTAATACCGCTATAGTTGCTGTCGCATTTTTTCTACACTGAAATGACCCGAGGTAACCCCGTCGTGTGCCTCGTGCAGTAACAGTTCCCTCAGTAGTGAGTACTTGGGTACCCAAATGCGGTTGGTGCATGTCTTTACGTTATAGACTCCCTTAGCTTCTTCTAGTTTCTGTGAGTTTCCGGATGTGAAAAATGGGTCGGTGCGATATCCGTGGGTGAATAGGCCTGTTAACAGTGGGTTGGTCTGGGCGATTAGGATGGCGTAGAGTTGGGCGGTAGGGCGGGTGAGTGCGTCGGCGATATTTGATTCGCCTTTTTTGTGCGTGACGGTGTAGTGGAAGTTGGACTCCAGATAGTCCAACCAGTGAATCTGTTGCGGATTGAGGTTCGGTTGGGCGCGAAGGTATTGTAGTGCACGATGGTCTGTCCATGCTGTGACGTTGGCTCCTGTTAGGTAGCACCGCCACACCTTGAACGTGTGCACGATCGTCAGCATCTCGCGGTCGTGTATCGAGTAGTTGCATTCAGGCGGGTGAAGTTTGGGGGACTCGTACGCGATTGGTTGAAGGCCGTTCCCGAAGTCCTGCAACAGTACTGCTCCCACAGCAATGTCACTTGCGTCGTTGACAAGCTCGAACGGACGGTGAGGATCTGCGATGCGAAGTACAGGCGGTGAGCACAAAATATTTTTGAGGGCCAAGAAGGCAGCTTGCTCTTTCTCCCCCCACGTGTATTCAACCCCCTTTCTTAACAGGTCGATCAACGGAGCAGTCAACTTCACCATGTCAGGGACGAACTGGCGCACGTAGTTGACGAACCCCAAAAAACTCTGCAGCTCAGTCAAATTTGTCGGCGCGTGCCATGCTTGAATCGTCGCGATATTTTTCGGGTCTATTTCCACTCCGTCAGCTGAAATAACGTGCCCTAAAATCTCCAGCTTGTCCTGTAAAAACTCACACTTATAGGTCTTGGTCAGTAGTCTGTTCTCACTCAGTAGTTTGAAAACTGCTTCGACGTCCCGTAGGTGCTGTGCTCGGTCTGTGCTGTAGATCAGTATGTCGTCTAAGTACATGATGACGCACTTATCTAGGAGCGGGCGGAAGGCTTCGTTCATGGTCATTTGAAAAGTGGCGGGGGCGTTGGTCAGTTCGAATGGCATGACGGTGTATTCAAAGGATCCGTAGCGTTTTCGGAAAGCTGTTTTCGGGCAGTCAGGCCGATTGACACGGATTTGGTGGTAGCGTCCTCGAAGGTCGATTTTCGAGAAAACCCGGGCTGTGCGCAGTTGGTCGATCAGTTCGTCGGCTCGCGGGATGGGGTAACGGGACTTGATGGTAACTCGGTTCAGTGCATGGTAATCTATGCACATGCGAAATCCCCTGTCTTTCTTCGGCGTGAACAGTATCGGTGCTGCGAATGGTGACGAACTTGGGCGAATAAACTCTTTTTCGAGCAGGTAATCCAGCTGCTTCCGTAGTTCGTCCAGTTCGGGTTGGGTCAGTCGGAACTGTCGGCTGTGCCCCCGGCTCTAGTTCTATTATGTGGTCGTGCGGTCGCTGAGGTGGCAGTCCTGTCGGCAGATCGTCCGAAAGAATCCCGCTATACTACTTTAGTAGTGCCGCCAAGTCATCTGGTACGTCAGCTAGCAGTTTCCCTAAATCGCTTCCCTTGTCTGCTGCCTCGGCTTCCCGAATGTCAACCGCGTACACGTCAGCTCCTGCCGCTATAGTGCGTTTCATGGTGATTGCGTTGACACGCACCGACAAAGACTTAGGTGAGCCCCAACGAGGTAAGGCGATGTTGTTACCGTTCACTCGCACAGTGCAGTCACCTGTCGTCGAGTCGATTCGCGGGTTGTGTCGTCGCAGCCAATCACGACCGAGTAAAACGTTGGTTTTGTCGAGGGTTTTGCGAGCATTTCCAGGCAAAACGTGAAGTTACCCTCGCATCGAATCCGAACTCGGTCCACACGTTCCTGTATCGCCAGTGGCGTGCCGTCGACCAATCTTGCGTCAATCTCAGGTAAACACCTGTCCACTTGCAGTTTCAGTTTCTGTGCGGTGGCAGTGTTGATGAGGCTGTGGCTGCCCCCCCCGTCTACGATGATTTTAACTAAGTCTGTCCCGATTTTCCTACTAAGCAGTATGGGGCTATCTACCGTGGTACCCTCCTTATTCGGCCGGGTGTGGTCGATTGCGTGAACCAGCACAATCACTCGGTGAGGGTCGGGCGAGCGGCGTGACCTGTCAGTAGAGGGCCTGTCTGCTACTGGCTCCCCGCGTTTCCCTGCTGCTTGGTCTGTTTCTGCTGCTCAGCTTCCCCCTTTCCCTTAGCGTTTTCCGGGCATTCGCTTTTGCGGTGTCCCAGCCGATTGCACGCGAAGCATCGCCCTTTAAACGGTGCGGCAATGGCATTCACGGCGACGGCTCGTATCATGGCGCCTTTGTTCGTCCCACGAGACCGATGTCCCCAGCTGCTGCTACTTCTGTAGGACCCTGGTCTCGGTCTGCGGAAAAAGTCGAGCTTCTCCGCAAGAGCGAGAATCTCTTGAAAATCGGTGACGCCGCGGAGATGGATTTCCTGAGCGACTTCGTGCTTCAGGCCGCCGATGTAGCGATCGATGCGCTCGCTCTCATACATGTAGTCCACCTGCTCACGCAGCGCCAGAAACCCGCTGGTGTAATCCTGGATGGAACCGAGTTGGTGCCAAGTGCGGAGCTTCTGACGTGCCGCGATCGAAGCCGCAATTGGCTCAAATCGAGCGTGCGGACCTGCGTACCACGCGTCCTACGTGCGATGTTGGGGCACCTCCACGAAATACGACGGCGCCCAGGGTCCGGTAGAGTCACATAGTCCATCGGCTTCGTGACGATGACATGCCACCAATCCATGGCGGGCCCTCGCAGCAGCGACATGGCGTAGCGAATCTTCGCCGTATCCTCCGAGACGTAGTTGGCGTCGAAGAAAACGTTCATCGTGAACAACCAAGCCTGAATGGTAGGACCACCCCGTTGATTCGGGTCAAAGCATGGCGGACGCTGTGGCTTCAGTGGCATCGGCGACTGCAGTGTTGACTCGCCGGTCGGCACTGAAATTGTGACGCGAGGTTGACTTCTGGCCGCATTTGTCGCTTCAGGGTGTGTCGTGCCGTGGTCGTCGTCGCCGTCATTGCGGACGACGCCATCACTGGCCGCGCTCGCGGGCTGCCCCACACTTCCGTGCTGTGATGCTTGTTGTGCGGGTTGTCCCGGCGTGCCTTGTGCTTGCGAGTGTGTTTGTTGTGCTCGTGCGTCGTCGTTTTGCAGGGACGTGCGTTCTGCCGTCAGCGCCGCGATTTCTTCAGAGCTTTCGCGAAGTTGCTGCAGCAGTTCGTTCAAACGGTCCTGCGTGAGCGTAGTGACGTCGATGTGTTCAGCCATGTCGAAGGGCGTCGGCTCAGCTTAGTCTAGGCGCAGTCGTGCCTGCACGCGTTTACGAGAGAACGCGAGGACAGCGGCTCCTAGGGGCTGAGGGGCGTGAGTCTCTTCGAGTAAAAATCAAAAGTTGACTTCCTGGGGTGCGGAGATCCGCTGTCCGAAAAGAAAGTGGCTTTGATAACCAAGTGTTACGGGTGCAATGGAACGAGGTAGCGAGGATTGCACTATGTGGATCAAAAGTACAAAACATGAGCGAAGGCATGAGCGAATACTTATATGCGAAAACATGCAACAGTTACGCGGTGTGTGCAAGCTAGCTGGTGCTACGCTGGCATGGAGGTTCGGGCTAGTCCCGAAGCGTAGGCCGACTCGGCTGGGCCAGCAGTGCAAGGTTTGGTGAAACAGTACGCGCGAAGTTGGAGAAGCCCCGTTAGCAGTAACGGGCAAATAACGGCTGCTGCTGTACTCGGTGTTGATGATCGCGGTAAGGAATGTCGAGAAAAATCTTTACACTAATCACGAATATACACAAACTTATATTTTGCAAGTAACCCCAAGAACAAGCAGATGTTCAGTGCAAGTGAAAACAAGACTAAACTTCAACACAAATATATGATAATACATAAAAATTGCATCCAAGTGATTCACTCCATCCTAACCACCAATTTGCCTGTCACATGCCCTTCCATGCTCCTCCTCCACGCCTCTCTCGCCTCTTCAAACGGCACAGTACCCTCTATCACCACCTTCACCTTCCCCTCCTCCACCATCCTCCCCACCACCTCCAGATCAGACCCCCTGTTCTCCATCATAACATTATAAATCTTCTTTGGGCGACAGGCAAACCGGCGCCAAAGCCCCAGAGCAAAGACAGAGAACGGGGGAATCACATGCACCCACTTACCCTCGGGACGGAGAACCTTATCCACAGCAGCAACGGCCAAGCTGTTGGGAGAGCAATCAATCACCACATCATACAGCCCACTGCCAGGGGGGTCCGCAGATGAAGCAACCTGTGCGGCATGAGGATTGGAAAGGTTGGTAACAGGCGAAGGGGACGAGGTTGGGGATGAGGAAGGGAAGAGCTGTTTCCCTGCAGCAGAATTGTAGTCGAGAACCTCGTCTGCTCCAAGCACGTTCCATGCGAAGGCAAGGTTGCGAGCGCCGACAGTGGCAGTCACATGTGCCCCTGCTGCCTTCGCCAGCTGCACTGCCACATGCCCCACTCCCCCTGACGCATTCGCCACCAGCACCCGCGCCCTGCTTCCACTGCTGTACCCGTTGCTGCTGAGGCTGTTGCTGCTGCTCTCAGCCTTACCGCTGCTGGCGGCACCACTCCCTTCCCCACTCGGTTTAGATGCAGGGAGAGGCAGGCCGGCATAGTCCCTCACAGCTTGCAGGGCGGTGAGACCGGCAATGGGGAGAGCAGCAGCGGTCTCGAAGGTGAGGGAGGAGGGCTTGCGTGCGCTGCCTTGCTGGTCCAGCAGTGCGTACTGCGCCAGAGCTCCCATTTTCTGAGTGAACAGCAACGAAAATAAACAAGAGGTACAGGGGAAATAAGAGAGGTGGGCTTGCACACACTGCCCTGAAGGTCCAGCAGTGCGTACTGCGCCAGAGCGCCCATTTTCTGAGAATAAAGCAAAAAGAAATACACAGGAGCACAAGAGGTATGGGGAAAGTGAGGGAGGAGGGCTTGCATTGCGTACTGCGCCAGAGCTCCCATTTTCTGAGGGAATTAAACGATAGGCGGCCCCAGGAGAATGGAAGAATGAACAAAGGGTGGATAAGAGGGATGAGGTTTGATGGGTGGCAGTAGGGCAGTTAGCTGTGGCATTGAAAGTCAGAACGTTTTGCGTGGTTTTTGAATGGGAGTCTCGAGGTGCACAAACATTGTACAGGAACAGTTAGGAGACTCGAGCTGTCACAACCCCCCCTCCCCCCTTCCCCCCCACCAATAAGATGCGGAAACAAATAATCTCCTGACTCAAAGCTTACAAAGAAAGGCGCCCTTCCATAGACTGCATCTCCCACGCTGTACTTGGTAACACCTGGCCCAACTGCCACCACGTTCCCCGCCAGGTCGAACCCTGCACGGTTGCGCGAAAGAAGGGGGATTACAAAACATACAACTTCACTTCAGCACGCCGCGAAAGAGGCGAAATGACATGGCGAACCAATCATGTCACCAGAAATCAAGTGGTGGAAAAACACAGCGGCAGGAAGTGGATGAGCCCGCCTCGATTGCACCGTCCAGCGTCCAGGCAACCGCGATTCCCATAATCATTCTCCTTATACCTGTTCAAGTCTGCGCAAGCAGGCTGAGCAGCTTATGCATTAGGCTGCTCTGCAGGGCGATCAGGAGCATCTGCGCAGCCTCCTAAACTGCCTTCATATCTGCACGAGCCATCATATGGCTCATAATGTGCTGCTTGCACGGCGGCTGTGGCACTCACCAGCGGTGGCGGGGAAGCGGCGCGGCAGGAAGGGGATGAGACCCGACTGCAGCTTCCAGTCACCCGGGTTGATGCTCGCTGCGCGCACGCGGACCAGCACCTCGCCCTTGCACGGCACAGGCACGGGGACGTTGTCGCTCAACTGGTGAAGGGAGGGGGACGCAGGGGATTTTTTTTTTTTTTTTTTTCGCGCAGTGTAACAGCAAGAAAAGATAAGAGAGCTTGAAATCAAGTGAGAACGCGAAAACCACCGGCTCCAGATTGAGTCGCGCGCAAACGGCGGTGTTGCAACGCGCTTCGGTCATGTGTATTTCGACCGCCAGGGCGTCGCGTCGCGGCGCAACGACGGCGACGCTAGCGAAAAGAAGGTAGTTGGGCTCACGGCGGACGTCTGAATCCCACGATTGGGCTTGCGGGAAGCAAGCGGCATGCGGAATCTCATCGATGGCGGTGCAGAGAAAGCAGTTGGTACATGTGCGTAAAACACAACAGCCCTTCGCGGATATATGACTCGGGCGGGTTGAAACGCACCGAGAGAGCATCAGCCCCGCCGCCGTGCTTCAAGTACTGCCACGCCGCCATGGTCTCGGGTACGTGCGACATAATTTCGAAGATTAGCGCAGCGCGTGAGAGCGCGATGGGAAGTGTACTGCCGAGTGAGAGTAGATTCTTGTAGAAATGGATGAATATGCGGATGGGGGATGATGGACCTGCCGCTGATGGACTGCCTATTTAAGCTATTCGAATTGCGTGGCAGCATCGTGCAAAAGCGCGGTGCGGTCGCATCGGTTACCATGTCGTATCTTACGGCCGGAGTAGATAACGGCGCCCTAACGCAATAGAGGAACCTACCTGGCCCAGAGGTAAGTATCATATGCAACCTGCTCAACGTCAGCAGAGTAAAGGTAACAGATGGAACCTGCAACCTTCACTTCCAAGACTTAGTACTGTACTTGATCTATAATTTAGGTCAGATGGTAGTATCAGATGCAACCTGCTCAACGTCGGCAGTTTGGAATCTTTTGCGTCACACAGGTCGCATCTCAACAATTTCGACGAATCGCCGGTGAAGCGTGTACGAAAGTGCATTTTCGTTCTCCGTAAGGAATTTTTCATTAAAGGAATAATATTGCAATTCATTACAATTGAGCACAGTATTTGTTACCATACTCCGCTATTCTCACTCCTTTACTCGCGATTCCTTGAATTTGCCTATGTGCGACCTGTGTGACGTGATTGCGCGCTGCTGACGTCGACCAGGCTTTATCTGATCGTCGAGACAATCAGATCGAGGTCGAGGGCCAGCATTGCTACGGTTGTCTAGTTGCGCGCTTATGTTGCCCTAAACTAGAAGTTCCTTATCTATGGCGCGAAACGGCTCCGTTTCGTTATCTGCTTCGGCTCGTACCGCGAAATTAGTTAAGGTGCAGCGCGCTTTTGCACAATGCTTCCAAGCGGATCATCAACAGCTTTCCATCAACTGCTCCCCGCATATTCCTCCATTTTTTGAAAATCTACTTTCACTCGCCGCAACGTGTTTTCACGCGCTGCGCTAATCATCTACTTCAGTCCTCTGCCAGATTCCGCTGCTGCCCAACATCTACGTGCGTCTTCTGCCTGCGACGCAGCTCTTTCAACGGCATGTGCCGCTGAGACGCGATCTAGTAGTAGCAGTACTACTGCCCGTTTCCGTGAACGCGCGTCGCTGTCTGACGCTCAATGACGACGGCCGGAAACAGCTCCGTTTCGCGTTGGCGAGGTATTCCAGCGGCGGGGTCTGGGCGAGTCTTCTTTCTCCATCTGTTTCCGATGCCCTGGCTGTCCCCGTTGCGACCATTGCTTGCGGTTGCGGTGATAATTCCGGTTGCTCGCTCCGCGCCGTCGCCCAATTCTGGTACGGTTCCGCATACTGCTCCGCCATGCCCGGCATTCCTATCGAAGAGCTCTCTCCTCTTCGGCCCAGGCAGGACTGTACTTCGTCTCTCCTGGATTTGACGCGGCAATCCTGGTAGGCAAGTCTCTCGGTCCTTCGGCCATTGGCGCTCTTTGCTGGGGCGTGCGGTACGTGGGTGACGCAAAGTGGGCACGTACGGGAGACCATGTCTGCATCGCGCTACTTGAAGCACGGCGGCGGGGCTGATGCTCTCTCGGTGCGTCCCGCCCCACCCTCCTCCCCCCTCCCCTCCGCCCGAATTATCCGACAGGCTCTTGTTTCTAGCATTTGCATCCACAAAAATGCGCTGGCTACTAACCCTAATGTATCTGGTCCCAGCACTAGTAAGTCTGCTTCTCTGCATCGAGACATGAGCTTCCGCATGCTTACGTCAGACGTCCTTCGTAAGCCCACGGGCATTCCATTCCGCTGCCATCGTCGCGCCACGACGGAATTGCGGTCTATCGACGTACCCGCATCGCGCTCTGAAGCATGACGCTCCTTCACTTGAATGACCGAATTTCGGCTTCAAGCTCTTTTGTCATCATATGTGCGTGGTTACGTGTCCTCCATCCGGCACTCTTCGCTGCACTTCACCAATTACCGACACACCCAAATTGTGTGAGGGCGAGGAGGTGGTTCGAGTGCGCACGGCGAACCGTTTTACTTTAAAGCCCTAACCTTAATTTACCGTATCCACCAGCCCTTGGAGCTTCACCAGCTGAATGACGGCGTCCCGGCATGCCAGGTAAGGGCGAGGTGCTGCTTCGAGCGCATGAGGAGAGAGTAGTTGCATAATTTTCCCCATCCCGCATCCCCCGCATTCCACCAGTTCTGCAACAACCGGGACGTTGCCTAGTCCGTGCAAGGGCGAGGTGCTGTTCGCGTGCGTGCAGCGAGCAACTTCAACCTTAAAGTTTCCTACCCATCCCCCATTCCATCTCACCCCACCAGTTGAATTAAAAAGTCCCTGTGCCCAAGCCGGGCAAGGGCGAGGTGCTGGTTCGCGTGCGCGCGGCGAGCATCAACCCGGGCGACTGGAAGGTGCAGTCGGGACTCGTCCCCTTCCTGCCGCGCCGCTTCCCCGCCACTGCTGGTGAGTGGAGAGCACACATGTAACTGCGCGGTGCAGAAGTGAAGGGCAGTAAGCTTGAGGCAACTTGGGCTTCTGGAAGGTGCTGTCGGGCCTCATCCCCTTCCTGCCGCGCCGATTCCCCGCCACTGCAGAAAGCATGCACGCACCTGCAGACGATGAAAGTTTTTAAGGAGGACTTTCAAAAGCTCCGACTTTCATAGGTGCAATTTAGTCTCATCCCCTTCCGGCCGCCCTGTGCACGCACTGACTTGTGTCTCCTTACCAGGCTCTGCGGTTCCCCCTCTGCTGGTGACTACCAGCATGCATTCCGTTTCCCACAACCTTGTCATTCACCCTTCTCACCGCACACTCGAATCAGGATGTATTGTTTGTTTTTCCTAAATTACCTTCCTCCATGCAGGGTACGACCTTGCTGGCAACGTGGTGGCAGTGGGGCCTGGCGTTACCAAGTACACTGTGGGAGATGCCGTTTTTGGAAGGGCACCGTTCTTCGTACGTTCCGTAACCACAGTATTTCTGCTTTATTCTTTGTTCTTCCGCTCTCATCCACTGCACTGCACCTCTCTCCACCGCTCTGGGTCGCATCCCTCTCTTAAAGCATGCGACCACTTGCCTTTCGATTTCGAACAACGTCTAAACCACAAGCTCACCCAATCTCTCGTTCAAATTCTGGTGTTTGGTGTTTACACTACCACACCTGGTTGCTTCTCTCCCATACACACTCCATTCGTTATCCATCCTCTCTGCCCCCACTCTCGTTCATTACGCAGCCCTCAAACGGCACACCTCTTGCTGATTTCCCTCCTCATTTGCGTTCTCCATGCCTCTTGTCTATTCTCATTTCTCCTCCCTCAGAAAATGGGCGCCTTAGCACAGTACGCCATACTGGAAACTGCCGGCAGTGCACGCAAGCCCTCCTCCCTCACCTTCGAGTCTGCCGCTGCTCTCCCCGTTGGTCTCACTGCCCTGGAAGCGGCGAGGGACCGGGCCGGCCTGCCCCTCCCTGTCCCTCCCTGCAACCAAACTGAGTGCGGAGCATAACGGCAGCAACATCACTATCTCCGGTAGCAGGAGCAATGGCAGTGGGAAGATGGCGTGGGTGCTGGTGGCAAATGCATCAGGGGGAGTGGGGCATATGGCAGTGCAGCTGGCTAAGGCAGCAGGGGCACACGTGACTGCCACTGTAGGCGCTCGCAACCTCGCCTTCGCACGGAACGTTCTTGGGGCAGACGAAGTTTTCGACTACAATTCCGCTGCAGGGAAACAGCTCTACCCCTCCTCATCCTCATCCCCTGTGCCTGTTTCCAGCCTTTCTGCTCCTACTGCTGCACAGGTTTCTTTGCCCTCCCATCCTTCTATCACTGGGCTGTATGATGCAGTAATCGATTTCTCCCCCAGCAGTCTAACTGTCTCTGCTGTGGACAGGGTTCTCCGTCCTGAAGGGAGGTGGGTGCATGTGGAGCTTCCGCTCTCTCTGCTCGCTCTGGGACTCTGGCGCCGCCTTGCGCTTCGCCCCAGGAGATTGTGCCCTGTGATGATGGAAATGATGGAGAACAAGGGGGCTGATCTGGAGGTGCTGGGGAGGATGGCGGAGGAGGGGAAGGTGAGGGTGGCGGAGCAGCATGGGACGGCATGTGACAGGATGGAGTGAAGGGCTACCTCTACCAGTATGGTGACTACAGCTAGAGAGTTCTGTTGCATGAATGTATCCATTTGTTGTGCACAATGTGATGTGATGCACTGGGTATACTGTACTTAACATGCTGGCTTGATCATTCTAAAGTCAGCATAGTGCGACAATTCATTCTGAACCATGCAAACATGAACACAAATATAAAACTGCACGACATGCATACAAGTATTTCTGCACCATCGTACCCCCATATCACAAACCCACTCCCCACTAACCAATTCCCTTTCTACTAACCCTCCCCGCTCTCAATCCACCCCACTCCCACCCGCTACCACGTATGCTCAAAAGCACCTACCCGCCAAGAACCACATCTCCCTTCTTCACCCTTGTGTCGCCACTGCTGGCGCCAGCTTGCCTTCAACAACCACTTCAAAATACTGTCTTCCATAAGCACCATTGAAGCGGCATTTGGGGCGGCGCTTTGAAAATATTCTTCAAGCGGAGGCGTACTTGCCTATGCGGCCTACTTAGCCTCGGCCATGAGCTTCTTGAAGTTGGTCTTGCTCGAGTACAGCGTCTGCGGCTTCCAGTCGGCGGGAAGGACCTTGTCGAGAGTGATCTTCTCGAGGGTGTGTCCCGCGGTCAGGCGAACGCTCACCGCCTTCTTCGCGCCCACAACCTCCTTCGCCTCCTTGCCCTTGATCCCCCAGATCGCCTTGCTGCCGTCGCGCGTCAGCTTCGCCCACTTCTTGCCGTCCGCGCTGATCTCGACCGCCTTGAGCGTACCGGGGCCGGCGAGACCCACCATCTGAATGTTGAAATCCTCTGCCGTCGAATTGCGGCGCACGCGCACCGCGGATCCGAGGGTCGAATGGCAGTTGGTGCGCTTGTACGTGATGCCGACGGGGGTGGCAACGGAACCCTGCACGATCTTGGACCACGACACGGGGGAGAGCGAAATCTCCTTCTCCGTGGTCGTCGCGCCAATGACGCGGACCGTCACGGTCGCCTTGCCGCTGCGGCAGTGCTTCGTGTCGTTGGCGCAAATCACCTTATAGCACGCGCCGCAGCGCTTGCCGAAGATGGCGGGAGGAAGCTTCACGGTGAGCCCCTTGCCGAAGTAGGGGTTGGCGGTGTAGTTTGCGTAATAGGCGCATGTGGAGTCATTTCCTAGCCCCGAGCTCTTGCTCTGCCTCGCCGTCGCCGCCACGGCATGCGTGGTTGCGTTTGCAGACCCGATCGCGCCAGCAGCAACCCCCTTAGCATAAGTAGTCGAGTTAGCAGGCTTAGTCGCGTTGGCAGGCGCAGTCGCGTTGGCGGGTTTCCCGGCGGCGGAGACGCACGCAGGGGCGGAAAGGAGCATTGCAGAGGCGATGACCACGACGAGGAAAGTGGCCTTAGCGGGTGTGTGGCCGACTCGGAAGGAAGCCATTCTCGCTTATGTGTGTATCAGACCTGGCTTAAACTGTCGAGATGGTGCTAGAACAGCTTTCAATATTGGAGGGTGAAGATGTTTGGAATGAGTGATTCGAGTGGCAATGGCATCTCGCTTATAAACTCCACTTGCTCTTCATCGAGGGGTGGCACCGTGAGTCGCGGGCATTTGACTTGGCTGTTTGTAGATTGGTTTCAGAAGTATTGCGTCCGAGTCGCACGCGTTTTGTGAGATTGGTTGGGGTGGGGAGGGTGTTGGATGGACATTGCTGCGAGTAATTGCGGTTTGGGTGCGGGAGCTGGCGAGCAAGCGATAACTAGCGTCGCGAACGATGACAGACTCAGTTCACGGATTCACGAAAGTGGGATACGGAATCGTGAAATGTCGCAAATAATAATTGTGACAGAGATTGTGTGTTTCTAGCAAACGCGACGGCGCGATAGGCGCGAATCTGACGGATGGTCTTAGAATTATATTTCATATATATCTGCTTGTTATAGTTATTGTATTATAGTTACACTATTTGCTGTTTGCTTAAAGGTGGTGCACTCTTTGCTTTGCTCTCTTGTACTGCTTTCCCGGCATTCTAGCTACCTCCTACAACCCTAGTTTCCTAGCTAAGTCAATCTCACGACAGGTACATCTCCTTATCGATGGGGAGCTGCTGAAAACCAAGCTCGATAAGGACGACACGCGGGTGTGTGTTGTTGCGATCGGAAGTTTGATCGTGCCAGGATCACCTCAGGAAAGTTAGCACAGAGTAAGTGCAGCGGAGGTAATTGAACTCAGATAAGATTGAATATAAAATTACTGAAATGATTATAACTGTTAGAATTTAAACTGTCTGAATAGGATCGTAGTCTTAGGATGGTAGCTTCCTGTCGTAGCGGAAGTCTTATATGAGTGACTTGTAACAGGATCAATGTCTCTGAAATCAAGTATATTATAAAATGACAAGCATACATAATATATAACTAGACTAAAGTACCTGTTCGCCTACTGTGCTGTTTTTATTCGCGCTATTCCTGTTCTGAAAAGGTACGTGACTATTCGCGATACCTACAGCTACTGATGACGTCATCCTAAGGCGCGTAGCGCTTTGCTGACGTCAGTCTATCGGTACTTTTACTGTACTAACTATACGAATTCCTTGAAGTGCATAAGTCTCGACATTATCTCAACACTCCCCTTCACTTCTAGGAGTTCGGTGTAGTCACCCTGTTGACTCGGAAATGCCACTGAGTTGGTTGCAGTGATGAAATTTCTGACGTGTCAGCTTCTTAGTAAGCGAATCAGCGTGTCAGAGGTCCACTGGTGATCCTCGATTGATCCTAGAGAAGGGTTACAGGCACGTTGGCATGGGGGGTTATGGGCGCACGGACCCGCTACTTAACAAGCCCTTTTATCCCAGTGGTCTAGTGGCTGGGATTCTGACATGGTATCAGAGCGAAGGTCTCGGGTTCGAATCCCGGTGTATGCACTTCGGGCATCCCAGTGCGGGGGGGTGTCAGAGGTCCACTGGTGATCCCCGATTGATCCTAGAGAAGGGTTACAGGCACGTTGGCCTGTTATGGGCGCACGGACCCGCTACTTAACAAGCCCTTTTATCCCAGTGGTCTAGTGGCTGGGATTCCGACACAGCGGCCATGTCGCTGGTGGGGCAGTAGACAAGGCGCATTCTCCCCTTGTCGATCGCGTCTTTTACGAAGAAGTAACGCAGCGAAATATGCTTCGTGCGATTGACGAAACCAGGCTTGTTGGCGATGGTAATTGCACTCTAGTTGTCGCACTGCAACGTGAACTGATTCGGCGTGACGAATTTTGCTTCGTCAAGTAACTCCTGCAGGTACAGACCTTCGCGAGTTGCAGCACAAGCGGCGATGAATTCTGCTTCAGCCGATGAAAGTGACACCAGTTCCTGTTTCGAGGAATTCCAGGAAATCGGACCAATCGGCTCGAGACGGAAAATATAACCCGTGCGTGACCGTCGATCTGACGTGTCGCCAGCGTGGTCTGCGTCAACGTACCCGCTGAGGTACATTTTGTCGGTCAGCTTCCCAGCATTGAAAATCAATCCGAATGTTGGTGTAGAGACGAAGTAGCGTAGCGCACGCTGTAAGTCGAGAGAGTGTTCTTCTTTCGGGCAGCGTAAAAACTGCGCAAGGTGACTTGCGACGTAGGCAAGATCAGGGCGACAAGTGACTGCTGCGAAAAGAAGACATCCCAGCTGCTGCTGATACAGTTGAAGACCAGCTGCTGACAAATTTTTCAGATTGGGAACGTGCCCAGTGAGTGTAGACCGATAAGGTGTAGCAACGAAATCCGTGGAAATGTTGAAACGCTTAGCGAGTGACTCCGCATACTTCGAAGCCGTGAGATGAATAGCGGAAGAAGTTCGCGAAACGTTTAACCCCAGAAATTGAGTTACTTTGGTGGAAATGGTTAAGTCAAGTGACTTCTTCAGATCGGCTTCGATACGATCTCCCAGCGAAGTAGACGAGCTGACGTAGAGGATGTCGTCCACGTAAGCCACTAACAACGTATAGCTCCCCTTGTCGTCTAGCCGGTACATCCCGGGATCGTGCGGCAGTTGTCGAAACCCAACCTCCGTCAGCTTCCTGTTCAAATGCTGCTGCCACAGTCGCGGTGCTTGTTTGATGCCATACAGTGATTTCTTGAGCTTGCAGACACTTGGCGGATTTGTCGGATATGTGTGCGGATATTCGACGTAGATTTCGGCATCGACGTCAGCGTACAGAAAGGCGTTGGAAAGATCAATTTGTCGAAGTGGAAAATTCTTCGCGGCTGCTTCGCAAAGAATAAGTCGAACACTCGTATGTCGACTGACCGGGGCGAAGGTAAGTGTGTAGTCGATCCCATGAGTCTGATCAAAACCACGAACCACCCATCGTGCCTTGTGTTTCTCGTAAGTACCATCCGCTTTAGTCTTCACCCTGAAGACCCACTTACCGGTAAGAACATTTTTGTTTACCGTTTTTTCAATGGGTATAAGATCCCAAGTTCCCCTTTTCTCCAGGGCAGCCAGTTCGCGATCCATCGCTTCACGCCATTTTTCGCGATGAGGCCCTGAGAGAGCTTGTCGGGCAGTTTTCGGCTCCAAATTTACTGTAGAACTGTGCTGTACCGCTGCTGCGAGTCCCAGAATTTGCAGTCCGGTCTGATAATGTGGATTATCGTCGGGACGACCTGCGAAATTGACAGAATCATTCTGGTCTCCACTTGCCCCCCCAATTTCGTCAGGGTTGACACGGATGCTGCTATCGGAAACCACCGGCATTGGTTGGCGTTGTTCATCCACGGGGTAAGTATGATGAACTTCGCGGACATCCTCAGGTGCCGCGTCAGCAAGAGGAATAAACTCCGGAATTCCAGATGACGTGACGGGGACAGGTGGGTCGGGAGCAGCTTCATGTGCACCGTCAGAGTCAGGTTCTTCGCTGGCAGCAATTTCGACATCGGCGTTAGCAAACGAACGAACACCGTGGAAAAGCGTGGCAGGGTTTTGCTGCATGGCAAGATGCTGTTCGAAGACGGGCAGCGTCAGATTCTCGTAGAAAATACAGTCGCGAGCAGGAACAAGAAGACGGCTGCGGTAATCCATGATACGCCAGGCAAAATATTATTTTTCAATGCCGAGATGTAGTCCCCACTTAGCACGCTGATCGAACTTCCCGAGCGGAGCGGTAGGAGGACGGTACTGAACAACAGACCCGAAAACACGAAGTAATTTAGTGGTACCCAACTTGCCCGTCCATAGCAAGTGGGGTGATGCGTTGTTGGGCAGGGCCGAGGACGAAAGAAGATTGTGCAACAGCGTTGCATGGTCCATCGCGAAAGACCAGTAGAGTGGGCCGAGTTGAGCCTGGGCAAGAAGGGCTCGCATCTTCTCTTGCACAGTCCTGTTGAGCCTCTCTGCTACGCCACTCTGCTGATGAGCGTGAGGCAACGGAAAAAGTCGTCTTATCCCGCGTTTTTGCAGATAGGCCGTGAACTCAGTACTCCGATACTCGCCGGCGCCGTCACACTGAAACGCCTTGAGCTTAGTATCAGACTCTCGTTCGGCGAGAGGAAGCCAGGTGCGAAAAGCTGTAAACGCAAGAAAACGGTTAGTCATGTTTCCAGTCCAAACGTAACGAGTAGAAGCGTCTGTAAATGTGATAACGTAGCGTTCGCCGTTGAAACCATCCTCAGGTAAGTTAAGTATATCGCTGTAAACCTTATCCATCAGTTGATAATTGTGAGCTCCAGGGAAATGAGTCGGGAACGGCTCGTGCGGTAGGTTTGCCGCAGGGCAGATGGTGCAGGGTGCCGGGCGATTCACCAGCTTCAGTTCGAGACCGCTCGGTAAGAGTAACGAATTTTTGTCAAGCACTGCAGCCTTGATCGTGTTGTTTAGCGTAAACTGCGACGGATGACCAAGTCGTTTATGCCATGTTTCTCCCGTGGCTTTGTGACCTTGTGCGCGCAGGTAATACTCGGCGTTAGCGAAGAACGACAACAGAAGTTGATGACCATCGGAGCGGATCTGATCGAAAGCAGGTGCGACGTAACGAGTAAGATTTGGTGGTGGAACACGAACCTCAACATCCACGTACTCGCCTGGAGCAAGTACTAACTCGCCGCTTTCTTGATCGGATGCTGCAGGTACAGGTTCAACTCCAACGAGACGACCCGAGTCAAGAATCTCCATTTCAGCGACGCGTTGTTCAGCTTCAGCGAGAAGACGAGCATCGTGTTCAGCAGGTGTCTCGCCCCAAGTTGTTTCATCAGGTTCGTCAGCCCCCCAGATGCCGTCATCAGTCGGCATGTTCGTCGGATCACCCCAACCTTCAACTGCAGCCATGTACTCCCGAGAGTTCTCAACATCATTCAAGCCTTGATCGTCAAAGGTCAACATGACGGCGACAGCCGTGGTTGAAGACGTCGGGACAACTCCCTCACGTGGAACTGTATCGTCGGTGTAATCAATATCATCA